TTTTTTTTTTCTTGTACACAATAAAAAGACCAGTCACAGACTGGAAGAAAATATTTGTAAATTGCACATTAAATGAAGAACTTGTGTCCAGAATATATAAAGAACTCTCAAAACTGAACAGTAAGAACACAAACAATTCAATTTTTAAAAATGGGCAAAAGATTTTAACAGGTATCTCACCTAAGAAGATATGTAGATGGCAAATATGCATGTGAGAAGCTGCTAAGAATATTAGTTATTACAGAAATGCAAATCAAAAGTACGATGAGATACCATTACACACCTATTAGAATGGTTTAAATAAAAAGTAATGACACTATCAAGTTCTGGAAAGAATGGGAAGAAATAGGAACCCTTAAACACTGCAGGTATGTAAAATAGCACAGCCACCCTGGAAAACAGTTCGGCAGTTTCTTATGAACTTATACATACACTTAACCCAGCAATGAGGGGAGCATGGAAAATCTAAAAATCTACAGAAGTGAGGTGAGAAAGATACCTACTTTCTGCTATAAATGAAGGGTGTGGAATGACCTAGCATCAATATTGTCTTCGGTTCAGCTCTGTTCCTAAACACAACTTGGAAAAAAAATACCGATATTCAATATTCATCCATACCTCTTCAATGGAACCTGCAGAAATCCTGTGACCTGCAACATTTATGACATCATCAACTCGAGACAAAACATAAACATAGCCTTCCTCATCCATGTAACCAGCATCCATGGTGTCATAGTATCCCTGAAAACAAGAATAAATAGTGTTTAATTAGCTTGTAGTGTTAGGCAGCATAATCATTTTTAAGCTTGATAAAATATCAAATGTGGTAGAAATGGATTTACTGTGTGCATTTGACTTTTTTTCATCCTACAGTTTGTAATTAAATTAATTTTTATTTTGAAAGCTTACTAGAATCTCTTTGCTACTCTAATATCCAGGAATAAGTTAATGTGTTCTCATATATATTTAAATTAAGCATTTGAACTTAGAGTTGTAAAGTTTATGAACCCTATTTCTTTTCTAAATGGAGAAGTAATAGCTTAATATTTCTAATATACTTTGACATTGCAAAGTAATTCTTTGATATATTTTTTCTTTATTGCATTAATTTTTAAAATCTTTAAAGTTAGCTCCCTATGAATAATTACAAAATAGAGTGCTAGTTTATTAATTTGGATTAGGATTGTACTCAAGCTTCAGTGAAATTTAATAGTAAACATGAAATTTAATTTTTAATTAACTCAAAGTAGCACGTCTTTTCTGGTCTGGAAATCACAATACAATGAAGAATCAAGAAGAATAAGAAGTAGAAAGAAAGAAGTATTACTTCCTCTAATGCTTCTGAGTTATCTTGATACTTATATTAACGATTGTGGTCTCTAGGACACATTCCGGTAAGTCATTATTTGTGTTCCTTAACCTTTCTGAGACTTAGTCTGTTCATCTGTCAAATGGGGCTAATGAACTCTGCCTTAAAAGGCTTCTGTTAAGCATATAGTATATGGTAAGCATACATACATATGTTAAGAAATACTGTATATGAAGTGCTATTGATTGAATTGTGTCCCCTAAAGTTTCGTGTATTAGAAACTTAATCTACACTGTGATAATGTTAAGAGGGTAGGAAATCCTATTAGAGTAATTGAAAGATGGGGCCTTAGAGGTGATTAGATTGTGAGAACTGTATCCTGGTGAGAGGATTGATCTATTATGGAGTAATGGGTGTGGTTCTGATGGCTTTAAAAGGAGAGCAAATGAAGAATTAGCTCTGTCATGCTAACCCATTTGCTATGTGATACCCTGTGTTGCTGCAGAGCCACCACCAACAGGCCCTCTCTAGATGTGTTCCCTAGACTTTGGACTTCCCAGGCTTGCAATTGTAAGAAATAAATTTTGTTTTCTTATAAACTACCTACTTTCAGGTATTTTGTTATAAGCAACAGAAGCAAACTATACATGAAGTAAAGAGGACAGACTCTGGCATATCAGAAGCTCTCAATAATTGGCTGAGCTTACTGCAATTATTACTGTGATTACTATTTGAGAGGCAACCTTGAGTTAAGAGCATGAACTCTGGAGCCAGACTTTGGGTTCAACCCTCCTGCACTGTTATTAAGCCCTCAGATTAGAGGTTTGAGGTCAGGTAACAAGGCAGATTATAGTGTCACTTCATATAGTTTAACCATAAAACTGGGGCTTTGAGGGAGTTTTCAGTGTTTAAGGTGATCATGTCAAAACCACATGCACATATTATTTGCCATTGTCAGGTTATAATTAATCATATCAGTACTCTGAGGATTTAACTGTGGCCCACCAAGCAGATAGATTAGGCTAACAGGAGTCAACTATACTGACATATCTTCCCTGCATCTTTTATCAGGAGCATGTTTAATTTTGTCTACTGAGGTCATTCAAATCTACGACCTCTTTCTAAAGAAAACTATTTTAATTCTTGTCATTTGTCAAGTTGATTAGGTTCTCTGCCCTTCACTCACAAATAATAAAGATAGAATGCTAAATACTTGGACAACTTTTTTTCATAAAATTCTGATATTCTTTCTTTTTTACCTAATGTAGAATGAGGACCAGGTTACACTCTCGGGGAAAGAAATAGAGGTAGAAGAACAGCCGAAGGACGTTGGTGGGACTGTGACATGTGTGATCAATGAAGTGCTGTTGAGAACACAGCACACATCACCTTGGCATGGAGTAACAGGGCAATGACAAAATGGGAAACAGGTAGACACTCTCTGTTGTCCAGAGCACCGAGGGCTGTTGGGCTTTGAGGACACTATCTCTATTCTGTATCTGTATTTTTAAAATGAGACTTTAAAACAAAGAACTCAGAGTACATTCAGGAAAGGATGTCAAAAATAGACTAAAGGATGGAAAAATACAACTTCTGGGCAAGCTGAATGAATTTTGCTCACATAATTGGGTGTAGAGGAAGTTAAGGGGTCTTCATGACCTCGTATAGTTCTCATTAGCTGCTCTCAGTCTGTACAGAAAAACACAGTGGAGGAAATAATATAGAGAACCCAAAAATCATTTTAATTTAACCAATAATTTTCTGACACTGAAGGCTGTTAAGTTCTAGGAAAAGCTGATAAAAGGAACTAAGAAATTTCTGTCCGAAGACTGATAATATGTACAAAAATGACTGACATATATTTGATAATTCTTATTCCGGAGATCTGGAAACTGGTCCAGACAACCTTTAAAAGTTGCTTTTTAATCTATAATCATAGGAGCAAGTTACTCAATTTATTATGCAAGAATTATAGAAAAGTATATAAGAAGATAAAAAAGTATAGTAAAGTTCTTACAGGAAATTTTTCGAAGTATAAATGTTTGAAAGCTTCCTGATTCTTCCAGAGTCCCGAAAAAGCCCCAGGTGGTAATGGCAACCTTGTATAAAAACAGAGCAGTTGAAATCATGATAAAAGTGATAATAAAAACAATTTGATTAGAACTATTAATTTTCCAGTGTGATGGAGAACTACAGTTCAAATCTTACATTGAAATGTAACCCTTAAATCTGCTGGGAAGATTATATCTATTGAGGCCTAAATTGCTGACCATTGCACAGCAGAATTATTGAAGAATGACTATAGTGTCTGGAACTTGCACAAAAAGCCCACACATATGACATTCAAATAGCTAAGAGCAATAATTATTGTTTCAATCCGAAGCACAACATCTGCAAAAAAAACCAAAAATGCATAACTGAATTACTTTTTAAGAGAAATATTCTTTAAACATAGGAAAATAAATTTGCTTTTTTGAAGTACCAAGTCATCTTCACCTGTCTTTTTGTTCCAATTAAGCATTGAGTGTTCAATTCTATCTTCACTATCAATGTCCCTCCTTCCTCTGGGAATTGCCTCTTACTGCTCCCTGTTGTATTTTTTCTTTCCACGACCATCCAGTCCTATGTGATTTCTCACACCTATGAACACACGGAAATACCTGAGCATGTAAAATGTAAGCTAACATATATCTTTTCTTGCCAGCCAATTTCCTCTCATATGTTCTTCTTTCTTCCATAGTGTCAAACAGATGTTATACACATGGCAAGGGCTTAATCTCTATCTGTCTGTCTATCTGTCTCTCTATCTATATCATCTATCCATCTATGTTCATGTTAGCCCTCTGTAGGAAGTGCCTACTAACAAATAGAACCACTCAGATTGTTTCCTTGATGCAGAAATTCTAGTTTGCAAATTCAGATACTGTAAAACTTAAAGACTTTCAGAAACCTGTTTTCTAATACTTGCACAATGAAAAAGTACTTACAAAGCAGAATGGTGCCTTCACAGTTCTGATTCTGAAAAAATTGAACATAAACCAGAGAGGGCTACTGCCCACATGAGGGAACATCACACACTCTCCTTGCAAGCCATGTTTTCAGGGTGAGAGGGAAGCAGGGTGGTCAGATGGCCACCCTCATATTAGACTGTATTAGCACCAGATTTTATTCTCTCATTCTGTCAGGCAGAAAATGCTGCTACAGCTGGGAGCAGCTATGGATACCTCTTTGGGCAGCCCAGCTGATATTGCCCATTTCTGCCATGTTTAACCTCCCAGTAATGACCCTGGTGAGACCTTCTCATTGGCTAGGTTCTTTTTTTTCTTAAGATGGAGAAAATGTGCTGCTACATCAGTATTTCTTGACCTCATGTAATTACATAAAATGCACACGAAGCATTTTGTAATCTGTAAAAAAAAAAAAATGCTGGTGTGTTGTTATTGCTGTTCATTACTAAATCTGTATGAGGACAGCAGGCTGAAGCAGATAATCCTGTCAGGCTTTTATAATGGACTTTACTATGTTAATCCTTCTAAATCACACACACATATATATGTATATATATAATTTTACTTCATTAGTTTAATTGTTAATATTTTACAAAAAGTGTAAATTCCATTATTAAGCATTGAAATAATATATGAATATGACAACTACTAAAAATCAATTTATCAATATTTTCAGGATTCTAAAGGTAAAGAGGTAAAGAAGGCACTAAGAAGAAGTGGCAAATTAAATTCCAAAGTGGTCCAAAAGGGGTAATAACATTAACGAATGAAGCAGATTATATGTGAAATAAACAATAATAAATGTGATGGAGATGCATTCTGCTTGCCCATTAAATAAGAGATAATTTTTAGTTGCTCCCAAGAAGTATGCCATGATATATAGTCCTATCTGTCTTTCATGGTACTGTTTTTTGACAGACACATGGGTATTAGAGAATATCTGTCTACTATACTAGAAGAAATATAAAAGGTCACTCTGAGAGAATGTGGCAACTGACATTTGTGCTGGAATGAGGACAATAGAGAGTGGTGGGTACTGGAGCAAATTAGAATGCACATGCCAGGTACAACTGGAACAGCTGTTTCTTAGTTCCACCTGATTGCTGATACATAGGAACACTGATCTAAATATTTAATCAGATAATATGCCAGTAAAGAGAACTATGCATATCAAAGTGCATATTGCTAAGCGTTTCTCTCACTTTACCGCAAATCAAAGATTTTAGCTCATCGGCATTCACATATTGCCTCTTCACAGTATAGACTCCTAAGTTCTTACAATAATAATCCAAATGATTTAGTACTTGCTGTATTGAACATGATTTGATTTTCCTGGTGGCCTATATGTATCTGATTCAATGTGTGTAGACGGAACCAAAAGTTTAGCATTTTATAATGAGTATTACCAGAAAGAAAGAGAAAATCTTACACTTTCCAGAAGTCACTTAGGTTTGCAACCTCTGTTTTTAAGAGGAGATGCCCTTATAACCTGTGTTTTCTCTTGCTTCCTGAGAAAGACATGGTGCTAGTAATTTGTGATGGAGTACATTCTTATGGAAGGCTACAGGATTAAAAGTACAGGTAGCTATCCACCAGAAAAAAAAAAAAGCATTAAGGACACAGGCTTTCTCAGCTGTTGCACAAAGCTTTAAATGCCTGAATAAATTTTCTGAAGAACAAAGACAGTACAGATATTTATACCATCTTTCATTACAGCAAGAAATGTCTGCATAACTTTGTATATACTCATAGATCCTGGGAATTAAGAAAAATATACCAAGTGATTTTTATATGAGGTGCATGAACAAGGCTGATAAATTTCTGAACCCCCTGAAATTAAATGTAAAATTTAGTTATATGTAGGTATCTATTATGCGTTTCTGAGGAGAAAGTCTTTGACTTTCATGCAACCACCAAACATTAAAACCTCTGTACAATGGAAATAGAGTATCAACTTGAAATGCACTCAGTGATAAAAATAGGTCATCCTAAGCGTGCTTTAAAGCACCCTTAAATTGAATCATTAGAAATAGAAAATCTCAGCCCTTTTTTTTTTCTCCAGGATTAAAGCCATCCTTAGGGAGAGACATCATGTGCCTAGCTTGTTTCTTTTGGACTAAAGAGGTAATTGCCTTTAAATATGCCATATGGTGGTAGAGAAATGGTAATGAAGAGAATTAAAAAACAGGTGAGAAGTGTAGGAGGAAGTAAAGGAGGAAAAAGAGGAAGATAGGCTCCCAGAATATTGAAAGGAGAAAAACAGGTGCTAGAATCATTTTAATCATCCTGCAGGAACATGTAACAAAGAACCCAAAATATGCAATGTGTGACAGACTTCTTATACAAGAGGAAATATCATGAGAAGGTAGGGAGCTTAGAGAATTTGACATATAGTAGGTGGTCTATGATTTGGATCATGAAGAACAAATTCACGAAGCTGAGAAAGGAACAGTAAACAAAGGCACTTCATGTTGTGTGACCAACATTCCTAAACCCTTCCCATTCAGCCAGTTAATCAACAAATATATGCTGATTTCTTAAAATATGTAAGGTACAGAAATAAGAGCTGGAAAAAATGAACTGAATAAGATGTACACAAGTACATATGTCTGTTTAATCTAACCCACATATAAGATGTGTGTGGGGGGTGGAAGGATGTGTATGAACTGTGTGAACAAAGGAATAAATAGGAACTGGAGCAAACGCCAAATTTTACATAGCCCTAAACATCATGAATAGGTGTGATGGTTAATTTCATGTATCCACTTGCCTAGAACATGATACCCAGATATTTGGTCAAACATTATTCTAGATGTTTCTGTGCAGGTATTTTTATATGAAATTTACATTTAAGCCAGTAGACTTAGAATAAAGCAGATTACCCTCCATAATGTGAGTGGTTGTCATCCAATCAGTTTAAAGTCTTAACAGAATAAAAGACTGACTTTCCTAGAGGAAGAGGGAATTCTGCCCTCAGACTCAAACTGCAACCCTTCTTTGGGTCTTCAACCTGCCAGCTTACCTTACAGATTCTGTACTAGCCAGTCTCCACAAATGCATGATCCAATTCCTTAAAATAAATTTCTCTCTATATATATATATGTATATAGACATCCTATCAGTTCCATTTCTCTGGAGAACCCTGAATAGTTCAATAGGCACGTGATAATGCTAAGTTACCAAAGTTTTTTAAAAGAAGGAAAGTATATAGTCAGATCTTTGTTTTAGGAAGAATAATAAAGGTGTTGTGATGGATTAGTTAACTAGAAACCACAGTAAGAGGATGGAAATCAAATATGAGGGATGAAGAAAAGAGAATAATCAAAGCCGACTCTAAAGTTCCTAGTCTAAACCAATGCTGATGCCAACACAAAGTATACAACGTAGTAAAAGCAATATTTTTCAGAGAGGTGCCACACTAGGGTTTGGAGAACTATAGAGAAGATAGAGAATTTGGTTTAGGTGGCAATTTTTAAGAACCTGTGGCATCATAGGTGGAGCAATCAAATAAGATGTCAATAAAAACATGTCTGAAAATCAGAAAGGAGATGGGCCTGGGTGGATATACAGATATGCTCATCATATGCAGCTAGGTAATTAAAGACATGTTAGAAATCAGTACGATGATTCAGGGAGAGGATATGGAAGAGGAAGAAGAAAACCAAGGCCAAACATTAGTGTCAAAGAAGGATCAAGGAAAGAAGACAATTGAATGAAAAGAAAAAGAAAATAAGAGATGTACAAGAAGCTAGAGAAAGTAGTATCATAGGAGCCACTAGAGTAGAGTTTTAATAATAACTGAGTCTTCAAAAAGGTCAAATGAAGTACAAATTTTGTTTGAGAGTGGATTCAACAGTAGTCATGGAACACAGTAATCAAGGTATTACAAATATCTTCAGGATTAACATTTCAGGGAGCTGAAGTGATTAAGGAGCAAACAGGAAGTAAGTAGAGGCCGTAAGGTTGGACTATACTTTTTAAATATTTGCGGGTGACTGGAAGGAGAGATATAAATCAGTGGTTTCACACAGAGAGGCAGGCTGATACAGGATGGGGAAGATTTCAGTGGAAGCGGCCAGGGGAGAGACAACGAAGATGTTCATTCATTCACGTATGAACACATGCATTCGTTTTCTTTGTTCAGTCGGTATTTGCTCAGTGCTTGGTATTCCTCAGTCATTCTTCAGTATTAATAATACAAAGATATAAACCACGTTCTCAGATGCACGCAGATGTTGGCATATTGTGAACTACGAGAACTTTAGTATTTTTAGAATGCAAATAGGGAGAAAGACTGTTGTGAATGGTGTCTACTCCATTTAGTTAATGAAATGATGTCAAAATGTAAATATTCAGGATGTTTGTCAGGAAAGTTTTATAGCAGGTGGTTAAGCCCTGCATTGCCAAGAGCTCTTGGAAGAGAAGTTTTTATCCCTACTCAAGGTGTGGAACTGCTGAAATAGCATGTGCGATTGTCCCAAGTTATTTTTGAAATAAGTGGGAAAAAACCTTTAGAGCACCTTCTAAAATAACTGAAATTAGGCTGAAAATCAAGATTGTAGTTTGTAATTGGTAATTAATAGGATGAAATAGGGAAATGTTTTCTGTTCCCCACTAACAAGGTGTGGCATCTTTAAAAATTCAGATGATGTTATCCGAATATTACAAACGATATCTAAAGAAGGAACCTTGGAATAAGCCATATAATGTTCCTAAAGAAAAGCAGAAAAGAAGAAAGTTTGCAGAATTGGAAATTAGGTGTATAATACAAATAGAAATACAAATTAGGTGTATAATTTATGTATATATATATAGATAGATAGATATATAAACGTTTATATATATTTATCTCTATATATATACATAAATTATATATATGTATCTATTGTATATATATTTATGTATATATACATATATATATATACACAATAGATATCTATAAACGTTTATATATATATATATATATATATATATATATAAATTTTAGAAAACTTGAGAAGAGAAGCAAAAAGATCCAGACAGAAGTTAGGTGTATATGAGCTGGAGAAGAATTTTTTTTGCAGTATTCCAAATTAACACTTTTTGCCTTACTGCTATTCTAAGGATTATCCTATATTAAGTACAGTTCTTCTTTAGTGGGTGCACTGGGGCTCATTTTCTGAAGTTACAGAAAAAGAACACTTTTTCTGTACTTGCAATACTATAAAAATGCATTGGACTGACAGAAGGAAGGGAAAGATATAAAAATGTGCTGGTTAAGGCCTATTCTCATCCTCAAATTTAAAATCAAATGCTACCACCCTACGATACCTTTCCCACCTCTTCCAAGTGAAGTGCAAAAGGGAATTTTGTGACTATTCCTCCAATTGTGAATCTGGAGTTCCTCTTACAGAATGTCCTTTCCTAAGAGACTAATCTGCAGGGGAAAGAGGAATAACTAAGACAGCAGTGATACCCATGTGAGAGGGAGGCATCAGAATGCTGAGAAATCTTAAATAGCTAAGGCAGAAAGAGCATGCCCCTTGTCCTAGGGTAACGTATGCCTGACCAGTCTGAAATGGGAAATTCTTAAGTGCCTTCTCTCCCAGATAAGGGATGGTCTGTATTCACTCCTTTATCAGGAATCCCCTTGGTAAAAGAAATAAATTGAAGACATAATTCCTGTTCCCTAGAAAATTCTGGAGTTAAATCCCAACTTTGTACCCAGTATTTACTAAAGGGTCCTTAGGCTTTACTTGAGATTTTTATATGAAGTTACTTTTTAGCTCCCCAGAAGAGACTGACTAGGCCATCATTTCTTTCTCTGTGGGCAGACAAAAGACTGGGTAATAATGTGAGTTCTAGCTGTTTAACTACTAATGATACTTAGTTTCTCATGACTAAAATGAGGATAATATCTGTCCCATTGACTACCTCACAGTGTTGTTATAAGGCTAATAAAAGATCATACTAAAATCTGTATGTGGGATTTGTAAAGGAACAGGATTATAATTATGTGACATCCTTCGTTTTACTCAAACGACACCCTGATGAAAAGAAAGCTATTCTGACCCTTTTCCTAGATGGCAGCACAGTGAATGAATTACTCCTGGGAAGCTGTAAAGATGTGAACAAACATCATTAAGTGCCAAGAGTTCATATCTGGAGAATGAGAAATTGGTAGGTGCTAAATTAAAAGCCACTTGGACAATTCCATACAGCTACCTTGAACACCCTGCTGACTGTAGGGCACAGGTCAGTGGAACACAGCATGGGGTGGACAAACTACCCTTCCAATACCAAAAAAAGATCTGGTCAGAGAAAATATATGCCCTTCAGAGAGAAAGAGCCAGAGACCTATGGCTTTAATAACAATGAGCACTGTGGTACTAAGGATGGCAAATGCATTTAAAATTTTTTTTCATGCCCTGCTCCCTGTTGCCTAGAAATTACTGACTCATAGTTTTATTTCTGCACCTTGGAGCTCTGGATGCAATTATAAGAGTGCCTTCTAATATTCATGAGCATTTTGTATTCATAGCAATTCAGATACCATAACTTTTCCCCTAAATTATCTGCCTGGAGTAGGCTTCAAAATCAAAAGAATTTTCTTACATCCATGTGGACACGAAGTTTTCTCTTATACTAGAAAAATAAATTCTATGGCTGCAAGTAGTCTATCAAAACACTAAAACTGCTAGTTTCCTGTTTACTATATCCTAGGCCCTACAGTAGTTTAGGAATCACTAAAATGTCCACCTTCTAGTCCCCAGGAGAGCAAAGCAGTGATTTCCAGAATGCCACAACAAAGGAGGTGGAAAAATCTAAATGGACCAAGAGTGTTTTGGGTTTTGTTTGTTTGTTTGCTTTTTTGTCTCCTTATATCACTATTTCTAAATATGAAAATGCATAAACAAGTCTTACTGATTGACGTTAAATATGAAAACATCCTGCACATACTGCAGGCAGCCATCGGGAAGCAAGAATAATTTTCACATTGATGAGTTAGAGAATGGCTACTGGCGATGCAAGTGTCAAAAGGAAACCCTTGCTCTCATAGATAAAAATGAGCTCTTGAAAAATGGTTTCAGGAGCTGTTCTATTAAAAGGGAGGTCAGTTCTTTTGGTGGTAACCTTTTTTTTCTGATTATTTCTACCTTACCATTCTAAAACAATAATAAATATAATATTTTCAAGTATCTAGTTTCACCATCAACCTAAGAGAAGAATCAAATTCCATGGCCTATTATAACATATTGCATCCTTAAATAATTTATAATGAAATTTAATAACCACAGATCTGTACAATAAAATTCCCTGCTTAGGAATACAGAGGGTAGAAAGTCATCCTGAATTGGTGACAATCTGAAACATAGAATGCTTAAAGGCAATAGTTGTGTTACTTTCGTGTACTTGAAATAATGGCTATTAGAAAAAATTATAGTTTATGTGGAGTACTGCTGTATTTTATTATCTCTGAGTGGATGTGGGATGAAGCATCCATAATTAGAGTGACAGGATCCATGAGGGGTTTAAAAACTGTGCTGGCATCAAATGCCACCTCTGAGATCTTGCAAGAGTTGCTTTATGAAATAGATGACTCACACAGTTAGGAGGTTATATAAAAATGTGTGCTCCTCTAGTGCTTTTAAAGCTCTCCAAAATCATGTGATTCCCTAAGCAAGCTAAATATCCACCCATAATTGTGTTCATATTATTAATTTCTCTAGCAAACCCACTCCGCTACCCCCACTGTTTTTCCCCAAACAAATCAAATTTCAACCAGCTCTATGTTAATATGGATTCTGATTCAGATAAATATAAATACAAATGACATATTTAATATTTAACTTTTCCATCTTGTTGAAACTTTAACAAACGGGTTAGTGTTAACAGTGATGCATACAAGTATGTGAAGAATTGTATCATAATGTCTATCCCTCTATCAGCTTTTTGTGAAGTTAAAATATCTCTAGATAAAGAAATATGTTCTTTTTTTACTAGTGCTTTTCAAGTAATTTTCATAGAATTTATAATACATTATTAATGGGAGACAATCTTATACCAATTTGAAAATGCCAAGAAATAGTAGTTCTTTTGAGTTCTAACAGAAATATATGAGAAAACCAGTCTTTTCTAAGCCCTCACATACAATGTTCTTTATAGCAGTTCATTCTGGCAAATTTTATGACTTAAACCACATCAGCAAAGATTCCAATATCATGCTAACCAGAGGCACTAAACCTGAATCAATTATTAAAATGTCACAAATTATGTGCCTCTCAATAAACTTCCATTTCAGCTTCCACTAACATACCATTTTAAAGTAATGATTTAATTGAAGCAAATGTAAATATTTTTACTTCAAATTTTAGCTCTTTTAAGTGAACAGTGATAAAAAATGTTAACAAGGTATTGTGGTATTTCATAAGTCAGGAACTTTATAATATGCTACTATTTGACACAGTAATTATACTTTTAGGAATCTATTCATTACTATATCAATTATCAGAAAAGAAGAAAAGATAAAACCAAAAAGGTATTCAATACAGTAGTAATTATAATCCTAAAAATTCAAAAAAGACTAAGAGGCCTGCATTAAGAAACAGAGTAAAAATTGAAAATGCTTCTGAGACAGGTTTAAGGGAAAACAGAAATACACAAAAATATACTGAACTGATTCAACAATGTAAAATGCTTGTCAAAAAGTGGAAAGTCACATATATTACAAAATTAACAATATATTGCGAGGAGTAAAAGTTCAGAAACTTTATTTACTTGTTTATGGTTGTTGTATACAAGTTACTTTTATTATCTATACATTACTTGTATAATCAGAAAAAAGTTATTTAAAAAGATGCAAATTTATCTTTTTAAAAATTGTATCTACATTTGTTGTACTTCATGGGGCTTCTATGTTTAAATCACAATAGAGTTAGCACAATTCCTGAGCAACACAAAAGCTCATTCTGCAAACTCCTCCATATATTATCACTACAATCACTCCATTTAAAAAAATATTATATTCCAATTTTTGCTCTTTAAATAGCAGTATTAAAAGTTTTGCTTACTTCACCACAATATTTCCTAAACACCGAGCCTTCAGTTTTTGCATGTTGTCATCCAAAACCATAACTACAAAGTAAAATATAAATAAATGTAAATTTTAATAAAAATGCATAACCTTAATGCTTAAACATTTTCCACATTTTCTGTTTTTAACCCCCAAAACTCTACCTTAAAAATCTTTCAATTCCGGTGAGACCATGAACATATACAAATAACTAAAATATCATACAAAAAATATAAAGGGCATGCTCATTTGATTTCTAACAAGATCATAAATTTTTCTTCAGAATCTCCCTTAAAGACATCATTTTTCAAATATAAACATAGATCATAAATTTTTCTAAACATAGATCAAAATCTCTTTAAGGGAGATTCTGAAGAAAAATTTATGATCTATGTTTATGTTCATTTAATATATCTGTCTAGTCTATCAAAAACTTTAAAAATATTTTCAGCTTTCTAGAAACTAAAGGAAATAATGTTTTAAAATAAACCAAAAAATACTGTAGGCAAAAAAATAAAGCATTTAAAGGCATAGAGAGCCTCTTATTCTGATTTAAGGCATAATACCCACTTATAAACTTTAAATTAGGTCAATTTCATCTTCCCAAATATTATCCAGATGCTTTATGTGACATCCTGAAAAAAATCCTGAAAGAGTTTAGGAGATTAAAGCTGGTATCCACATTTGGTAACCCTTACTGCAAACTGAATATGAAGATAAATCATTATCTTCTAAGCTGTGATAGATTCTTTATGTGGCTTCATTAATCCAGGAAATTCTATTGTAAGTAGCTATGAGAAGAGAAGGACATCGTCCGTCCCACCAAAAATTAATAGCTTTCTTTTTTGTGTTCCTGGAGCAATTTGTTTTCAAACTCTATTTTGACATTCAATTAGTAGAGGTGTGAATATCTGTATCTCACTAGATTGTGAGTTCCTTAAAGGTGGAAGCCATGCCTAATTCATCTTTCTGTCCCCAAATCCCAGTACAGTAGCCAAATTACTCTGTGTCCCTGGGCATGGTCTATTACCACTTTGGTTTCCCTATATATAAAATAGGAGAAATTCTTTTCTCATAGTGTTGATACAAGAGTTACTTGGGGGAAAAAAAAAGGAATATAAAGTGACAAGCTTGCATAAGATACTCAATGAATAAAATTAAGTGTTATACTGAATATTTTTCATACAAAAAGCGTTTTCTTTCCTTTCTCAAAAGGATCCTGCTTTCTTATTATAATATCGAATATTACATTATGCTTTTGATCTCTGAATAACCACAAAACATAAAATCATCAGTCATAAAGTCACTGGTTCCCTGATTATAAATATTTAACCTGTGCTGTCTGCAAACCAGTGAGAAACTTCTGTATTGAAGTTCCATGAGGCAACCAAGCTTAACTCTTCCTTACAGCTGTATTTAAAAATGGTACTGAAATACTAAAAGGGAAATGTGTTTAACATCTCTCACAATCAGCAACCCCTAAAAATGTCTCAACACAAAAATTTTTCTGATAAAAGAAGCAGAGGTGACAGAACTGTTCAAATGGAGTATTTCAGTAAATCTAGGTTCACCTTTCCATGGCTTCAGAAGTCACTGATTTCACAGAATATCTATTTCTGCCCTGAATAAAAAATCTGAAGTGTCTTTTTATGAATATATCTACTAACTTAAACCAAATGATTCATGGTTTTTTTTAACTAGTCATTGTCCAAAAAGGAAATTACAATATTTTTATGTTAGGGAAGTAAAAGATAAATCTCTAAGTTTTATAATTTATATGCTAATAGAAAACATACATTAGGTATCATATTTTGTCCCCCAAAGCTGGGTTTTCCTCATAAATCTATTAAGTTAAATTGTGTGACCTTATACAAATTACATAACCTCTGTGCCTCATATTCCTTGTCTGTGAAATGAGTCTGTGAATCTAAATCATCAGTCCCTCTGGCTTTTTGAAATATCAGTAGCACTATTAGCTAAGATTTAATTCAGTCTTTCTACTAGTAAGCACTGTGTTAATATTTCATTGGGTAACATCAAAACACAGCAGCCCTAGAAAGCATATAAAATTATTATTCTATTTAGAAATAAGAAAACTGAATGTTCGAAAAGTTAGACGACTTGTATAAGGCATACAGCTGAGGAGTGGAGTCCAAAGGAAATTATTTAACTACTATAATCACTACCATAATTTTAAAAAGAAATATTCAAAGGATATTTTATCTCTTTGTCACATAAAGCCAGCATCACAAATATGTTTCCCTTTAGAACTCTTACTCTTTGTGTTTATTTTTAGCCAAGAAGGCTCAAAAGCCTTGTCATCTCTCCTAAATTAAAAAGTAGCATATGTAATGGAAGAAATTGCAGCTTTTGTATTGAGAGCAAGCAAAGAAAGAAAGAGACAAACAAACAAAACTCACAGTGGTTTGCAGGATCTAACTAGCTGTGTTACCTTAGGAAAGTTATTTGTCTCTCTGGGCATCAGCTTAATCATCTTTAAGATGGTAATAATCTCTTTGAATTAAATATACTTCAGTATTAATCAGAATAATGCAGTCTAAAGTTTGGGCACCTGCCAGGTATTTCATACATAGTAATTTCAAACCCATATTCTTAATATACATTTCAAATTACATATTTTTTTGGTATTAGAGCTGTTTAGAACATGTCCCTGAAGGTCCACAACCTTACTTTTGACAGCAAAAATTAAGTCATTTATTTTTTAATACAAGGCACTTTCTCAATCAAATACTTATTAAGCACCTAGTATGCTTCATGCAATATGATACATGCTAGATGCAGTAAAATACCAAATTTATGAACACAGCATTAGTCAAATAATCAGAGCCATTTCTTACCATTGTATCCTGGAACACTTTTTCCTGCTTGCCCGGGTGGAGGTGTTTTAGAATCACCTATTCCAATGCACGACGCTGTAATTGGGGATCCAGTTTCTGGAGAAATAAATGTTACTTATCATTTAATGTTTCAACCTGGGATCATGATGTTTCTTCAGCGCATGCACAAACTACCACACCCTATTTTGTCATATAATTTAATTGCATTAGAAATAGATGAATACTGCAACTGTAATATTTAAAAATGAAATAAAGGGCATAAAGAAAAATTATGATTTATAATAACAATCTGCTTATTATAAATAATAATTTTTAAATGAACAAAAGACTGTAACCAAGATTTCACAAAAGAAAAAAAAAATCCAGAAATTTATAACACATCTATAGCTTTAAAACTTAAAGATACATATTTAGAATAATTCATACAGTAATGTTTCTTCTAAAGAAAAGAAAGGCTGTTCTAGAGTTCCAGTTGTGGATCAGCAGGCATAAAGAATGGCAAATTATGTAACCATGAAGGTTTTATAACACACATTAAAAGCTAAAAGATCACTAGAAAAGATGCTTTCACTTGATTCGCCTATTTTGTTTATCATTGTAAATTACAGTTGTGTGCAAAATATTTCTCTTATTTGTAGCTTATTTCTGAAATAATTAACTAAAAGATTTTTTTAAATATATGAATAATGTCATGCTCGAATTTTCTAAGAACACGCTTGCCTAGAGACCCTGCATCTAAAACTGAATTTACCAATACTTTATCAAGTTGTTCCCACTCTGTTGTTCATGGACTTCCAGAAGCCCCAAAACATAGGAAGGAAGATGTCTACACTATGCTGACTATTCCACCAAGACCATGAACTTATTAATAATTAGCCTGCATTGTTTAACAAAAATGTTAAATCTGTTTTCTTTTTCTTAGGTTGTATCAGCCAGAATAATAGCAGATATTACCTGATAACTATAAGTTCTGAAAGTGATTATTTTTATGGAGAGATGCATTTGTTATTATTGATAAATATAAGTTTGGAGTTAACAGAATTTTCTAAATGTGAGATGAACTCATATATGTATGGAGGGGAAGGGTTAGAGGATATTGACAGTGAAAATTTGGGAATTACTGGCTTAATATTATACACACAAACATACACATGCATAAACCCTAGGAATTAATTGCCAAGCCATTCATATCCAAAATAATCTGAAAAATTAAAAATACCCATCTACCTAAGTACTCAGAATGTATTCCTTTTACCATGGTCTTTACCATAATTTATTGTACATTTGTATAATTTTAGAATGATGAGAAGGATTTATTACTGTTCTTTACCTCTCCGTGTAGTTCAGTTTATTAATCACATTTTATGGGTGGTGGCTCAGCTGGCATCAATAACAGAAGATGGAATTTTGAACATTAAAATGGTTTCTAAGTCACAGTCCAGTGCTTAAGAAGCTAAGCCATATGGTCATCACTGAGGATAACCAGCAAGCAAGCAGAGCAGACATTGCTGATGTCTAACAAAGAGTTTTCAAATATTTTCATATCATGACAAAAAGTAGAAATGTATTTTATGAAATGGCATGCCATCCCTGTGCACTGCTCCTGCCTGTTTTCCTTACAGAACAATTAAAGCATGGGACAAAATCCACATGCTCAGAAGGATTAACAGCATTTCCCCTTTGTCTTTTTAAAAATGTCTAGGTGCACACCTCAGCCGTCCTTCAAAACTGATGGGAGAGAGAAGCGTGGGGATGAAGACAGGAAGCAAGCTTGCAGAGTGAGCTGCCTAAAGAAAGGTATGCAGAATGAATAAGATGACAAACGAAACAGAAGCTACTAGGACACACTAGGAAAGGAAACACTCCCTTCAAGATGCTTCTGTTCCTTCCCCCATCCTCATGGAAAGCCACTGCTATAGTAAATTGATTTTAAAAGTACTTCTTATCAGGTTCAGTTCCTCAATGGAGGCACTCCAATCATCTGGAGTACAAACTCTCTGCAGTGCTTCGCAACTCCACAAGGCCTCTACAACTTGTCAGCAAATGGCTCTAGAACCATAAATGTACCTACCAATGGCTCTAGTACCTGCCGCCTAAAAGAAAAACAAGCAAAAACCACCACAACAAAACTGTAACTGCACCATAATCGATCCCTTCTCAGTGTGGATTCTTAAAAAAGACGTCGGCACTCTGTCCATCCTATCCCACCAAGAGGAGAGTGTGGAAAGAGAAAGTGAGACTAAAACCTAATGTTAAATAAAAATGCAAGAAAGGACTGGCAAAGCACTGTCAGTATTCTCTGTCTAAAGTAAGTTTAATACATCCTGAGATTCTTAAGCTTCTTTGTATAGTGATTACTTATTTATAATCTTTTAACTTGCACCTGTTTTGTTACAGTTAATGAGACAATGATGAAAAGCATATTTTTCTATATAATTAGTTTGAATTTCAAAAGCATTAAAAAGGATTATCTATTCAGATTACTTAGAGTAGATGATATAAGTTTATATTTTGGACATTAATTCAAGTATCCCATTGAACTTATGTCGATATTCATCAAGGGGATTAGAAAAAGAACTATTGCTGAAGATATAATCAGACAAAATAGCAGTTTCTAAGACTCAAAGTATGGTGAGTTATAGTTAGGGCAAAGTGGGATGAGAACCACCATAACACTTGTCAAAAACACTTTGATTTCCTCTCTTTGTACCTCTGAACATCCCAGGGCCCAAAGACTGACTGATCTATCTACAACACAAACATACACACGTGTGTGCACAAGTCCATGCACACAGACCACATAAACACCCTGGCTGTCAAGCTGGTCCATGCACAGAATAAGCTTCTGGTTTGGGAAAGCCCCAGGCATGCTGCAGTCTTTAACTGAAATCCTAAAGACTACCAGAGCCCCATTTCAAAGATGTTCCATAAACATCTGCTTCACACTACCCAGGCTATAATTAACTGGCTAACAGTTATCTGGAGAGACAGGAAATCCAGATGTCATGTTGTGATTGAATAAACCAGCACATTCTCTTTGAAGAAGAGAATTGAATGCTTCATTCGGAAAAATCTTAACAGAGACCTTAGCTTTAGAAATACAAAATGTACAGCAAATCACCAGCACAATTTCTTTAGATAAGAGATAGCCAGGAAGAAGATGGTAGGGAATTAAAGGGTGTGAAGAATGTTACAATGATACATTTATACTCAGCCTGCATTAGAAGCTAATAGAGACAAACCCACAGCTAATATCATACCTAATGGACAAAAATTGAAGGCCTTTTCCTCTAAGATAAGGATGTCCACTTTCCCCACTATCACTTGACATAGTCCTGAAAGTTCTAGCCAGCACAATAAGGCCAGAGAAAGCAATAAAGGGCATCCAAACTGAACAGGAGGAAATCAAACTATCTCTTTTTGCAGATGACCTGATCATATACATAAAAAACCCCAAGACACCACCAAAAAAATACTAGAACTAATAAATGAATTTACTAAAGTGGTAGGAGAAAAAATCAACACTCAAAAATTAATAGTGTTCCTGTACACCAACAACAAAATATCCGAAGAAGAAATCAAGAAAGTAATCCCATTTACAATAGCTACCAAAAAGATAAAATACCAAGGAGTAAATTCAACTAAGGAGGTGAATGACCTCTACAATGAATAGTATAAAACTTTGGTGGAAAAAATTGAAGAAGACATAAATAAAGAAAAATATATCCCCTGTTCACAATTTGGAAGAATTAATACCATCAAAATGTCCATATATAATCAAAAGTGATCTACAGACTCAATGCAATCCTTATCAAAATACCAAGGACATTCTTCATAGAAATAGAAAAAAAAACCTAAAAATTTGCATGGAACCACAAGAGACTCCATATAGCCAAAGCAATCATAAAAAGAACAAAGTTGGAGACATCACACTACCTAACTTTGAAATATACTATAAAGCTATAGTAATCCAAACAGCATGATATTTGCATAAAAACAGACAAATTAAGCAATGGAACACAATAGAAAGCCTAGAAATAAACTGTTGCATCTGTAACCAACTGACTTTCGACAAAGATATAAAAATATACACTGGGAAAAAGACAGCCTCTTCTATAATGGTGCTGGGAAAACTGGATATCCATATGCAGATGACTGAAACTAGACTCCTATCTCACACCATACATGAAAATCAATTCAAAATGGATTAAGGATCTAAATTTAAGACCCAAAACTATGGAACTACTAGAAGAAAACATAGGTGAAACACTACATGAAATGGGAGGTGGCAGCACTTTTCTGAACAAGACCACAAAGGCACAGACAACTAAAGCAAAACAGACAAACGGGACTACATCAAACTAAATAGCCTTCTACCTAGCAAAGGACACATCAAGCTAGGGTTGGGTCTGGCACTCACTGACCCCTCAAGCCCATTGTCCAGTCTGGGACACAAACCCTTCACATGCCAGGCTGGGTCACCCAACCCCTCACACACCTGGCTGGGTCACCAGACCCTTCACATGCAGGTCTATGAGCTAGGTAACTGGCAAAAAGGTCCTTGGAGCCATAGGCTTGAGAGCATGGCTGTGCAGGGTGGACACCTGAGGCAGTAAATGCCAGCCAAGTGGCAGCAATGCACATACACCCTAACTCCACCTACACACAACTTGGTTACAAAGAATGCACCACACCACCCCCAACCAGATCTAAAGCAAGGGGCACCTGATTAAATTATTCTATTTTCCCAACAGATACAATCAACAAAGTGAAGAGACAACCTACAGAATGGGAGAAAGTTTGCAAACCACACATCAGACAAGGGGCTAATATACAGAATACATAAGGAATTCAAACAACATCACAGCAAAAAGACAAATAATCCAGCTCACATAGTTCTTCCAAAGAAGGAGAAGAATGGAATAGATAAATATACCACTTCTGAGGTTCTCATGTCGAAGAGGATGAGAAGGGAGTAGAAAACACCAAGACTATGTCTCATTAGAGAAAGAAAAATCCTTGTGACAGGGAGTAAGCCCAGTCTCTCATACTTGCAAATGGAAGTAGTGGTGTACAAATCTTTTTAGCACATATTT